CATATCCTGACAAAGAAGAGTCCTTCATAGTAATATATTCTTCAATATTTTTTCCCGGAAGTCGAACTTTGTTGTTGTAAGGAGAAGCATATTTAGAAGAGAGATATACGTATGCTATGTAAATAGCACCACCAAGCGGAAGAAAGAGGAAAATAAGCCAGCTCCAAAAACCTAGGCGAAAATAGTAGGCAAGGAAGAGCGGGACACCAATAACAGCAGCAACCAACTGATACATGCTGAAAGTTTGGTTACCAGCACCTTCGGCAGGAAATGGTGCATTGGCTATAGAAGCCCACTTTGTAGGTTTAACACCAGTATCTTTCATCTTAAAATAAAAAGGAGATAAATGTATCTTAGTACTATTGAAACGTATACGGTAAGAGAATAGACACTTTCTAAAAATAAAGTATAAAAATCGCGTAACTGTTTTCAAAAGTATCGAAATCAGAACACGTTTTATCACTTATATACTTTACCTTAAAAAAAAGTAAGAAAAGAAATTTTTTGATAATTAAAAAAAAAAAAAAAAAAAAAAATTGAAAATTGGGGATAAACCAAAAGATTAAATCATTCTGATAATTCTGATAAATAATTAATATGCGACACGAGAAATTTTCTTTGATTATCTAACATCAGATTGGGGGCTTTTTCAAATCAAGAAATTTCCGATCTAGTAACGGTAATGATCATTCATTTTGGTACCGGTACTAAATCACGTATTTTTCTATCAACCTTTTTATTTATAAGGCTGGCTGGGGTGGTTCAGATTCAATGGTCCGGTCCAGACTTGGATTAAGTTCACTAATCTCCAGGCAAAATTGAAATATAGTTTCGGCTGTTTACGTGTTACTATGTGATACGCTTAAATTGACCGATATTACATTCCAAGAATATAAACGCTAAATTAAAAAATTAATTAATGTGACGGCTGATGCTGAAGTTTGGCTGATGTTGAAGCTAAAAAAATCTGATTGGTTAGGGTTAGGATGATCTGCAAAATTTAGCCAATCAGATTTTTTAGCTTCAACATCAGCCAA